TGGGGAGCTAAAGGGAAATCTTCAATATTTATTTTTCTCCCTCTTTATATGCACTTTTTCTTCTTAAAATACAAAGAGCAATCTTGCAGAAAAACAATCATCTTGCAAAGTGGCCAAGAGAATATTCACGTTAATGATAGGAAGACACATGGTTCCATCCTAGGACCAGTGTTGTTCCATATACTTATTAATGAGCTGGAAAAGGGGATGAGCAGTGAGATAGCAACACCTGCAGATAATACAAAGGTATTGTATATCAAGTTAGGAGACGATTATGAAAAGTTTAAAAGTAAATTTCATCAGTTCCATTCCCTTAGCTTGGTTAAGTCAGTGCTAGAAGTTCAAAGTATTGCACACTGGAAGAAATAATGTAAACGTCCAATACACCTTACTGTATTCTAAATTAACTGCATCACCTCAGAGAAAAGGGTATTATTCTGGATTGCTCAATGAAGATCTCAGCTCAATACATCTCTAAGGTGCACACCTATACAGCCTTACACAAGAGAACAAAGGGGTCACCACTTAATTCGTGGAGTCCACACCTGCACAGCTCCACAAATTAAGTGCCTGGACCCTGGAGAAGGTACATATATAAGATGAAGTGGTGGTCTTTGGGGGAAATACGAGGAGGGTGGTAGAGAAGAGTTGGGTGAGGTGGGTGAAATAGGGGGTAGGTGAGGGAGCACTGGGGTGAGAAGGAGGGGGATTTGGAATGTGCAGGGCTGCACAGCCAGAGTAAGAGACACATTTCCCAAGCTCGAGGACTGCAGCTGCCAGGGAGAGATTCTCCTCCTTCCTAACCTCAGTTCTGTGCTTGCTATGGCTGGAGAAATACTCTTCTTCTTCCCAGCCCCAGTTCAGCGGCTGCTGGAACATGGGAGAGACACCCCTTGTTTCTAGTCCAACTCAGTGGCTGCTGCAGTGGGGAAGAGAGAAAGAGAGAGAGAGAGAGCCCTTTGTTCCCAGCCTTATTTTGGTAGCTGTGAGGCAGAAGGAGAGACACCTCTCCCCAAACTGCTACCAAAACTGAATGGATATCACTTGTCCAGACAAGTGATTTCCATTATATTTGGGGAGAGGCACAGGAACCATTAAGGCCAGACTTTGTTACTGGTGTAGTTCTGGTTCTTCAGAGTACAGTACTTCCCTTGACTCTTAAGTAGCAAGCAGCACACTACTTGTGAAGGGTGCTGGGAGGTGTTTTGTAAGATAAAGACCGTATTTGCAAGCTATCCTACTACACTACAGGCATAGTTTTAATTGGTCACATTTTTCAGTTGTGTACGTGTGGTTTTCATTGGATGCAGTTCAGCTAGCCTACCTATATTGGATTTATTTATTGGTCATCAATGTTACATGCAAAGTACTGAACAAAAAAGTTAATTATTATTCAGGGATGTGTTAAAAGCTCTTATACAAAGCGCTTTACAATAGTTAGATAACAGGACAAACAACAGCATTTGGAAAGCTCATTAAGATGTCCACTGAGACCTTCAATAATTCTCAATTGGTCCATGAAAAAAAAAATTGAGAACCACTAATATAGGAGAATTCAAAGAAGAGTAACAAGAAATATTAGAAATATGGAAAAAATGTATGAAGAGACGATAAAAAATGGTTGTGAAAAGGCAAACGGGAAGGAACATGATAAGAGCATATAAAATAATGGATGGTGAAAGAAGATAGTCAGGTAGTCTATTCACCCTCTTTCATAACACCAGAACAGAGGAAAATTTAATATAACTTAAAATCAACAAATTCAAGGATGAAAAAGGACATACACTTTCACAGAACACACAATTAGTCTGCAGGAATTACTGCGACAAGATATGACTGAAGCCAAGAACTTGGCAGGATTCAGAAAAAAAACCCTGCATTTCACATGGATAATGAGAGCATCAGAGTTCTAAAAGTAAATATTTTTAATGAAATTTAAGATGGGATATAAATAATCAAACTTCAGGGCCTAAGTCTAGCTGTATCTACTGGGGCTTAGGAGGCAGTTATCCCATGACTGCTTGCTGGAAAGTACTTGTACCTTCCTCTGAAGCATCTGGTGCTGGCCACTATCCAGGATACTGGACTAGATGGACCATCTGGCACTGTTCCTATGGAATGATTTGGTCATATTGGCTTGGCTTGAAACTGAGCCCAAATAAATCTCTCTCTGTCTATCTTTAAACAGGATAATATTCCACTTTGTATTCCCAACATTCAGTTGTTTGCTTGCTTTGTTTCCTTCCTTTCAGCCTAGCGCTGCTGGAGAGGTAATC